AAGAACCGTGCTTTTGGGTGCACCTCGATTGCGGTGTTGGCGCAACACCATTTTAGGCGGTGTTCTCTAGGTCACCTATTTCTAATGGTCTTAAGTGGGGGCGAATTTAACGTGCGTAGTTCTGGGGAATCGCTTCGTGCGTCATCTGGACGAACTGAGGAAGTGGAAATCACGTAGCGGCGAGCACAAGTACCACTTGTGCAGTCTTAGATATGGAAAAAAAAAAAAACCGTTGCGACGAAAGAAGTCGGAGTAGTTCCGGGTTGCCTCTGGGAAGACGCTTAATACTTCCGTTCGATGTAACGGGAAACAGTCTGGCGAAGGCTGTTTTCTTCTTTTTTTTTACTAGAATTGCTCGCGACAGCAGTGATCTAAATGGCGGCGAATGCAATTTCGGCCTCGTTTGGCCCTTATCTAACCGCGCGGACGGCATTTCCGAAACGTCTCTTGAACGCGCGCAGTTGCGTGTTGGTTATCGTGTTGGTATTCCATCCTGAAAAAAAAAAAATCGAGGACCTAATTTTTATTCAAACTACCCGTAAGTCAAAGTGTCCGCTCCTTTAGTTTAAAAGGGCGGCTTCTGGATGTGAGTTGCAATTACCCACCGCGCCTTTCCGCCTGGGTTGCTGACCAGTCGCGTTTCAAGTACCTCCCGTGCTGTTTTCCATGCAGGACGCCAGTGCCTTTTGCTTTTTTGTTTAGAAATAGAACTTCCATTACTGTTGTTTTTGGCCGCATCGGCAGCCGCCATTCCACAAGTTGCGGTTGAGTTTCCTACGCGGATGCCAGCCGTAGTGGCCGCGCCTTCGTCGGCTGCGCTTAGTTTCGTTTGTCGATTGGCGAAGGCGTAGCCAGGAATTGGGGTTGAAGACCCCCCTCCCCCCCTTCCCCGAAATCTAAGTTTTGCTTGCGTACACGCTCTCACATACAGAAGTACGCACGAAAATGAAAGTATGGTTGAACCCCCCCACCCTCCCGCCGCCGCGAAAAAAATTTCTGGCTAGGTTCCTTTTATATGTCACCATCACGTATATGACTCGAGGTCATTGGTTCGATTCCCAGCGCCGGCCGCTGCCTTCCCTTACTTGCTATGCCAGCACTTTGTTTCAATTTGTTGTTACGAAATTTCGCTTATTGATGCATCACCTTTCGTTTATTTACGTCGGTTGCAATCACAGGGGCTGACACGATGCTTTACCCTCAGTTTTTTTTTCCCTTTTTTTTAATATAGCCCCGCGTGATTGCTGTTAAAGGGAAAATAAAAAGGAAAAAAAAGTTATTGTGTTATTAAATGCTTCCTTCACATATCTACAATCGCCGCGCTTGCCTCAAGGGGACACTTGGTAAGCGAGAAAAAAGAAAAGAAAGAAAATGGTGTGGCTACTCCCCCTCGAAATTCCCGCACGAAACGCCGGGACGTCAAACTTTTTGACGGCGTCTGTTGGGTTCTACAGATTTCCTAACGGATACAAGCGAGGTGATACATATCTTCCGAGGGAGCGTAAGGCTTAATCACGTTGGGCTTAACGTACCATTTTTCTAGGAAATCTCGTGGGGACTACGTGACCGAAATGCAACGGGAAACATTTTACATGGATTTTTTTTTTTTTTCGTGTAATAATGAAGCTGTTGCGATGAGATTTACGGCACAATAGTTTTCAGGGTGCAGATTACCGGCCCTAAACTGATCTGTTTTATCACTTTCAAGTGTCCCTGTAACGATCAACGGCGTACAATGGAAGGAGGCTTGGCTGGACGTTTCTCCCCGAATCCACCGGTTGCACCGATCATCCGCGGCGACCCACTGCTACTCGCTCCTCCTCTAGGTTTCTCGTTAGCTCGCTCGGTCGGTAGGTAGGCGCAGCGTCCGAGAAAGACCATTTCCTTTTTTTCCTCGTGCGAAGCCGCCGGCGTTGCGGGTTCGCGGCGGACCTTCTTTTCTTAGCGCCGTTTCCTTTTTTTTTTCGTTTTCTTTTTCTTCGAGCGGCTTGTTTCTTGTCGTACGTAGTGTGTGAGGCGTTCATCATTTTGTTTTCTTCCCACCGACTCTTCTAGCAGCAAGTGATGAGCCGGCCGGCTTCTGTGCTAAAAATAAAGCTCCACTTCGGGAAGTCGTGGCGCCGGCAGCCGGCCCGCGGGCGGTTCGAAATCTAGAGAACTAGGACTGTCTTCTCTTTCTCTCACTCTCTCACACACACACACACCGGCGCTGGCTTGGACGTCTGCGCTGTTCTGGGCTAACCTAAAGCCGGCTTACAGGGAGGGGGGTACTTGTCTCGGCTTCTGCTTACTTAACGGAGATGCGGCCCGTGTCATACCCTTGTCACACGGCCACCACTGAACCCTGTTAAATTAAACTCCGTCAACGTAAATCTCCCCTAGGGTGTTCGATGGCAATGGAGCTGCGGCAGAGTCACACGGCAGACAAGGTTATAATAGTTGATGCCAGGAGGCTCAGCGGGTGCTGTTTGATTTTCGCAGAAGTATCCTAATTTCATCTCTAATAGCTTTTTCTTGTATCTTCGTTATAGGGTTTTTACTGAAACAATAATAAAAAGGAACAAGGCATTAAAAAGTATTTCAAATGAAAACCGATTCGCTAAATGTAGCGACGCTAGCCTACTAGTGCTTAGCGCTATGTTTGTTTACAATTGCGTTGTGCTTGACAACTAGCTGTTTTTGTAGCCCGTACGTTAATCGGGTCGGGTCCCTTTACCCATTACTGCAGCCATTGAAGCAGGCGACGATGATGCAGCGCTGTTTATCATCTCTTTCACTGGCAAACGCAAACACGGCTACGACAAGAATTGCATGCACGAACAAATTATTTTTAAATGGTAGCGCCCGGCCTGACTCGCGAGGCACAGTGTGGAGGGCATCGGTGTGGAGAGTAGCTGCACCCTGGTGGGTTTTTGTATATATATATGTAAAGAAATGCGTTATGAAATTGGCACTGCAACAAAAGAACATTTAATATTGCCAAAATGTGTTACTGTTCTCACTGCGGCAGTTTAGTGCTCGCAATCTTTTTCTGACCTGCAGATACTGGGGACGAGAGTACCTCGTTCCGCTGCAAAGGGAGATCGTCGAACTTCCTTTGCGAAATTCTCCGTTTGCCTTCGTTTGCTTAAGGGTGGCCGTGTGACGCGGGCCGCATCTCTCTTGTCGTATGGACGAGGGAGTTAAACGGTGTTCACGGGTGCCCGTGGGACCCCACGGGGATTCGCATGGGGTATCACATGGTGTCCCTTACGTCAAGGAAGTTAAATGAAGCTTTTCTCAAAGAGAGTCTGGTGATCTTCCTTAGTGGCTGAAGGGAGTACTCCCGTCCCCAGTAATCGCTAGTCAGGGAAAAAAACTGCAAACACAAAAAAAAGCCTCTGTCAACACAGTACTAAACTTTATCACTATTAAAAGTTCTTTCACTGCATATAACGAAAAGAAAATATGCGCACAGGTGTATGTACTCTACACACAATTGCTCGCCAAGTGTTATCATGTCGCCATTTGAAAAAGTTTTTCCGAGTTCGTGCCAGCCATCTGTGCATGCAGTGGTGTTTACATCTTTGCAACTCGCTCGCTTCTTATTGTTTTGCTCCTTATTCTACTTCAATACTGCTAAAATTCATAGCAGCAGTTGATGCAGGCTTTCTTCGTTCTTCGTTGACGCCTGTAGTCGTGCCGGCACTACATGCAAACTGTTGTGTGACCCATCCACAGCAAGGGCTTCGTGTACTGAGTGCAAGACCTGCTCTCATCCGATATTATAAAGAATATTATGATTTCTACGTGGTAGTGCAACTTCAAAGAGCTCGGCGACAACTTGCAGTGTGTTTGACAATCGGTGTACATATAGAAAATGCGTGCCAAGACAAATGTACAGTGTTGCCAGCATTCCTATCAACATTATTGCCAACTTGCTTAGGTGCACGTGCCTGTGATAAAGCCAAAATATTTTTTTTTTCTGGTTTTGGTGTAAATAAATTACAGTTAATATAATAAACATATGATAGGAAATGTTTTCAGAAGTATTAGACGTGAAATCTTGCATGCGGAGAAAGTGCTGCAGTGCCTAATGGGCCCCTTGCGACTTCTGTGTAAAGCCGAAAGAAAATTAATGAAAAAAAAAATATGCACTCCTTAGCAATATAAACATGCTGCCCCAAGAATTTTGCAAATACATATAGCCCATAATACATACGGCCCATACCGTTAACCAGAGGCCATATGTATGGCCCAGTAGGGGCTATACATAAACCACCGTGAACCAGCAGTGGTTCACAGTATTATAAGTACGATAATACTGCACGGTCATGATTGACATGCCACTTTTTTAGGCTGCAAGTCTTCTACTAACCGCTTTGATCATTTCATCACATTGGGCCATACACAATGAGCTAGATGCTCACACAGTTAAAACTTCAAGCAGATTATAATGTTACAGCATTACTGTACTTAACGTTCAGCAAACTGGCACTGCTAGAACAGCAGTGTGGAATTGCGGTTTTACAGGCTTTTAATGATTATGTCAGCCTAGAACAAGTAATGTTAAATTCTAAGAACTATTTACTATCCGCTTTTACCCCCTAAGAAACCTGATTTAGTTTTGGGGGGGCGGGGGGGGCTAAACCACACCATTGCTTCACTTTCGTTTTTATATCCTTTGCGAGCGATGTCTTCTTTAAAACATAGCTAACAAGAGGTACTGAGATGACACTGCCCCTCCACACCCGTAAACAATAATTGAAAATTTGGGGGATTGTACCTGTGTATCCATCTTGTTCATCAGTCATAGTACGCAATCTTTATTCGGACCCTTGATATTTGTGGGGTTTTTGTTGTGAAAAATGACGGAAATCTGTTTCACATTGACGCCTTTGCTTGGGTCCAGTCTTTGAAATCATTCTTTGGGTCAATGACTTTTTTTTTTTCGCCTTGTCATGGCTTGTAGTCACAAGTATAGTTTGCTGAAGCCACTCAATGTGGGTCGTTGTTTCCAGGTTCTGAACATGGAGGACGACATGAACTGGTACCGGGCCGAGCTGGATTCCAAGGAGGGCCTCATTCCTAGCAACTACATTGAAATGAAGAAGCACGAGTGAGTATGCACGTGAGCCTTTTTGCTTAAAAGCCATGTTGAAGCTCACACGTAGCAGGCTATTCACACTTGGCAGCAATTCCGTCACGCGCTTGGTGGCAGACAGTGTTACATTCTTACTTCTGTGAGTGCTTCTGCACTTCTCCGGTCATCTCTGTTGTCTACACCTCTCGTGCTGTCTTCAAGGTTTGATACACACAACTGCCATCTAGCGTTTAGAGTATATGAATTTTAGGGGTGCTCCCAATATATCATAAGTACAGCAAACTAATACCACTGTAACATGAGAAGGCTTAATGACATTCATATCTAATGTCATCTAAGACATCGAATGATGGTAGATGCTGTGTGCAGCTGGAGGTAATGTTATTTGCAAGCGATGGCAGTCATGATGCAACGTAGACTGCAATGATCGCAGCGTGTGTAAGAACCAAAATATGGCCCCCATGCCGCAAAACATTTTTTTAATGCACATTCCGATCATGAAGTGCCGATTGTTGCTGCACAGCAATTGATATCACATCATCTGCTTGACAGGTACCAAGGCTACACTCACGTGTTCACTGATGGCTTCGTCGTCAAAGAGACAGCGACATCAGCATTTATAATTCCGGAATTGCGCGGAGAATATGAATGTCGGCTGGGCCATCTCACGTCTTTAACAACGTCGGAGCTCGTAGCGATTTTGCTAGCGATAAGCTTTATTAAAATGTCAATGATTCCAAGAAAATGGGGGGTAATTTCAGACCCTCTGGCGGCACTCGCATGTGTGGAAAATGTCACTTTAAAATACATTGATGTGCGTATGGTATACGCTGTACTAAAAGAGCTTTCAGAAGGTACGAAGTCGAATCATCGAGTGGCATTTCAGTGGTTCCCAGTCACTGCGAAATCAAGGGAAGTGAAATGACAAATGAGTTAGTGAAAACCACTCATCATTCTATGCAAACGTGCCTCATTCCTGTATCTCAATATGATGTAAATAGAATTTTAAGAACAATGAAACGTGAATTATGCTTGTCTACCTGGTTCACAGACAAAACAAAGGAGTCGATCCTGTATGCAGTGGATCCTAATCTTGAATCTCAATTAGACCGTGACCTCCCAAGGCATATCGATACACTCGTACATCACCTAAGACTCAGAACTGCTTACACAAAGCACTTCCTACTTCGTATTCAACGTGCAACATCGTCAGCAATTTCATGCGGCTACAACGACGAAGATATCTATCACCTCTTGCTCGACCGTCTAAAACTCGACTGTCCGAAACACGAGACACACCAAAGGCCACTCGAACAGGAACTCCATAAGTTATATCCCGAGCCACGATTTGCGTTGAATAAGATACTAGGCCCATGGCCATCTAAAACAAATGGCAAAGCAATGAAGGTGCTGCAACACTTCTTTGAAGAAACGAAGATTTGTGACGACTAGTGAGCAAACTATAGTTAAAAGTGAGCGTGTTGACTACGTGTTTGTACTGCCCATAGGAGAACTTTTGCTCTCACCTATGTAGGACTGTATATATGTATATATGCTATTTTGTCTTTTTTTTCTTTATTTTGTAACAATCAAATAAAAAAAGGATAGCCGTTGCCAAGTAATTATGACAAATACTCCTTAGTTTATTTTCTATTTTAGTACAAAAATAAAAACATTGACCTAAAATAAAGCTACTCATATACATCTCCCCAGCAAACATTTCTACAGGTCTACTGGAAAGCCATTCCCTGGTGGACAGTTATCGCAGTTATTTTCTTGTAGTTCCTGTTTTATGTTGGTGTATGGCATTACGTATTGGTTGGTCTGAAGAAAGTTCCCATTAGATACTGCTTCTATGTGTTGTAATGTGAGTGAAGGAATAAACACAAATGAACAAGGAGCCACATGTATCATTTCAACGAAATTCAGGCAATTACACTTACATCATTTGTGTTGTAATTGTGGTGCAAAGGTTGAAATGGAAAGTTCTCTCACCCTGCCATTGGTGATTGATTTATCAGGACGAACTCGGTGGTGAAAAGGCCAGTGAACAATCCCAAGGTTCAAAAAAATTAATGAAGAGAATATATGCTCACCTTTGTCATGGGAACCAAATGTTGCAAGAATTTTGTGAATATGTATTTTAATAAGGAAGTTACGGGGGCTGGAGCATCTAGAAAGGCATTGGTAGTTTCGCTCCGGTAGCTTAACAGAAAAAGCTGTACAGTTGGCTACTTCTAGCATGTTTACGAAGACGGAATAGAACAGGATAGAGGAATGCTAATACTCAGTAGATTACAAATGTTGTTATGGCAGGAAAAAGCAATCGCTCGAGCATCACACAAGGGACCAGTGGAATCAACACACCCAGACACACGCATCCCTCCCGGACATTTTAAGTTAGCATGTGTATATATACACTGTTGCAACAGCCCGTTGCAGGCACTGGAGACGCTGGAGAAATATGGAGAGACAGCATGAAGTGGCTGAAAGGAAACTTTAAAAGAGGTTTAATTACATTACTTATATGGTGAAAATTTCTTTACATGACAAACATCTCATGACACAAGACAGAGATTTTGCTGCATAATGACAGTCTTCTGCCAAAAGAGCCAGTGGGGCTGATTATTAAGTGTCTCTCTTTCCCAGTTACACAGATGAGGAAACGGATCCGAATTTCGCTGTCCAATCACGGCAAACACCACTCCTAATTAGCCACTCATACCCGCCCAGGTCATCGTCCTTCACCAGGGCGTGGCCACTGCACTCTGCACCTATGGCACCAAGGTGGCATGTGAAGGCCATAGGATGATGGGTCACACACTCTGACAACCGGCGCGTCGAAAGGTCCGCCACCTCCAAGTACCTTGCCGCTCGATTACTGGGATGGGTTGTCATACATGCTGAGGGTCGTTGTCTCCTCGAGAGGGGTGTCATGACCGGAAACTGTTGTGGTCATCTCGTGGAACACCTTGCGGCGTCGTACTGCATGGCGCCTCACTTTCCGGCTCGTGAGCACAGTGCACGTGCTGGTACACCTGTCTGCAGGCCAGCAGCTTTTTGGTGACTTGCTCCAAATTAGGGAATGCCACTGTCCCTTCCGCCCAGGTGTTGATCATAACAACAAACACACAAACAAATCCTTGCACGAACTTACATGAATAGTGGTGAACCCTGTCTTCCTGTCATTCATTTAATGCAAGGCCATTGAGTGAGATAACAAACGATTTAGTTGACAGTAGCAGCAGTTCTTTAATAAGATGCTTTATCTGTTGCAACTGAAACTTAAGCTTGTTTTTGTTTTTCTTGTTTTTTTCTTTCTGTGCAGCTGGTATTATGGACGCATTACACGAGCCGATGCGGAGAAGCTTCTATCGAACAAGCACGAGGGAGCCTTTCTGATTCGCGTCAGCGAGAGCTCACCTGGTGACTTTTCTCTCTCTGTTCGCTGTGGTGATGGCGTCCAGCACTTCAAGGTTTGTTGGCATTTGTTAGCACCTGTGAATTAATCTCCAAATGTCTTGGCACAGCTGTTCGGTGCTCTAGGTGGTTGATGTTTGCAGTGAGGTACTCAGGGAGGAATGTGTCCAAACAAATAGCTAGAGTAGAATTACACACATTTGAATAGCTAGAGCAGAGTAACAAAGCATTAGTGGAGTATTGGTAGCAGTAGAAGCAGTCATTTAGTAGAAGATAAGAGTAGAGCAGCAGGAGTGTTGGAAGTGGTAAAGTCGATTGGATTGATTACGTAGTCATTGTATTAGAAGCAGGAATAGAGTAATAGATTAGAACAGAATAGTATTAGTACTAAAAGCAGTAGCACACTAGAATATATGGGCTGACATCATTTGCTGATTGAAGCTTGAAATAGCAAGAACATTTTTTCATTAGGAGCATATCAATACCCCTCTTCACACTAGCAGTCATATTAGTTTTTTTTTACGGTCACAGTTTGAAATATCTTGTTTGAATGACTGGCACAATCTAGCTTCAGGACTTCTGGCTTCTATTCACTATGGTCATGTAGCAGTTACGGTGTACGGCTGCTGGCTGCTGACTCAAACGTTGCTGGTTTGATCCTGGTCGTGTAATGGTAGAAACCCGTGTAACGTGCGATGTCAGTGCACTTTAAAGGGTCCGTAAAACACCTCCGATATTTTTTTCAAACATTTCAAGTAAACGCATGCATCATGTGCAGAATGCTGTCGCGATCAACGATTCTACACGTGGCTCCCCCGCAGGGGCGTCTGCGTAAGTAGGCGTTTGGTGTGTAGCGGCACCACGGACCCGAACTAACGAGGGAGTTTCCACTCCCTCCCACGCCTAGCCCTGCGTGGCTTTGACGTGTCCGGGGAAAAGGGGATCCTGGGGGTTGAGCCGACGCCGGGTGATTGGACCTTTAAGGCCCCCCGGCAGAAGCAACACACCCCTTTGGCCCCGGCTTCACGTAGACAACACCTCTGGGCTGACCCACCCAGGGGAAATCGGCAGTCGCCTTTTCCTATATCTCTCTCCCCCCACATCGTCTTTTCTGCTCTTTAAATCTATCCTGTCTTCTAATGTCTTCTGTTACTTCTCCAATTTCATGGGCGGCTTAGGTTAACCTTGTGGAACTAGCCAACCTTGGCCTACGCGCATTAGGTTATCGTAGCGATGTACGGCTGGCGTCTGTATGTTTCGCGTTTCGTGAATCTTGTAGCGTCCCCTCGTTGGGCTCCGTGGTGGGTGGCTGCCATCGTTACTGAATTACATTCCTCTATCATGCATAGAACCTTTCGACTCCTCAATGATTGTGCCGCTTCAAAGCGCGTACGCACCGAAGAATTTTCTTTTTTCAGCCGACCCAAAGAAGTATTCCCTCGCTATCATGTTGTACACAGTGAGAAGCCCAAATAAAACAGCCGGAGTATCGCGGTCACTGACAGCCACGTTAGGCGATGGCTATAAAGTTACAAAAATGGCTAGTGGCGACCTTCTTTTAGAACTCCGTGACAAAACACAATTTGACAAACCGAAGAACCTTGCAACATTCGGCGACATTCCCATCAGTGTAACACTGCATCGATCCATGAACTCTGCACGTGGAGTTGTTTCTGACAGACCTCCTTCATCTGAAGGAGGCTGCACTTCTCGAGGGCTGGAAAGAACAGAATTTGACCAATGTGAAGCGAATCGTCGTTCGAAGGAACAACCAGAAAACCCCCACGAAACACTTGGTACTGACCTTTGCCACCAGTGAACTACCACAAACAATAGAAACTGGCTATACAAAGACACCGATCAGACCCTACATACCAAACCCCGGCCGATGTTACCAGTGTCAAAGGTTCGGCCATGGTTCTCAGAGCTGTCGTGGTCGACCTGCTTGTGCCAAATGTGGTGCCCAAGGCCACATCTCTGACAAATGTGATGAAAGCCCACATTGTGTAAACTGTGACGGAGACCATGCGTCATATTCACGTTCTAGTCCACAGCGGAAAAAAGAAAGACATTATTACACTGAAGATTCGCGAAAATATCTTCTTCAAGGAAGCACGCCGAAGGTGTTCGGCTTTTCATGGCACAACTTACGCTGATGCGGCGCGTCAGGGGGCAGCGTCGCATCACCATCCGCCACTACCTAGGCCCACGCAAAGTGAGCCATCGGGTGTGGTGGCCGCCCCCATGGTGGAAGCAGCCAAGCCTGTTCCACCTACCAAGACAGAGACTCAGGCGACTGCAGGGTCGTCGGGTCGACCGACCACGTCTCACCAGGCGAGGTCGCAAATACGCAACAGCAGCTCGCGTACGCGGGCGTCCAGTGCTTCACATGAGGCTATGGACACAAACACGGTACCTCAGGTGCTGGAAATGCAGCGTGGCTCCCTAGAGCGCGCTAAAAAAACCAAGAAACCAATAACAGGGCCCGACGACGGCCCTGCTACCTAAGTTACAACTTCCCACTTGAACAGCCACTTCATTTCCGTACACACAGCACCACTTTCCATCAAATATGGAAACACGGATTGTACAATGGAATGTCGGAGGCCTTCTCACAAACCTCGACAATGTCCGAGAACTTCTACACATTCACTTATCAAAAGTGCTGTGTGTACAGGAAACACACTTAAAATCTAAACACACCAACTTTCTATGCAGTTACATTATTTTCCGAAAGGACCGCGATGATGCCGTGGCATCATCTGGAGGTGTAGCTGTTATAGTTAAGCAAGGTTTAGCATGTACACACTTAAAACTCCAAACGTCTCTTGAGGCAGTGGCTGTTTGAGTGGTGCTTCTAAGCAAACTCGCCACCATTTGCTCTATATACATGCCTCCACATTTTCAACTACACAAACATGAATTCCAGTCCTTGATAGATGGACTTCCTGAACCCTATCTTGTTCTAGGGGACTTTAATGCACATAACAGGCTACGGGGCGACTCTCGTTGTGACACCCGAGGTCGACTGATTGAACAGTTTCTTCTCTCTTCAAGCACGTGTCTCCTGAATCGAAAAGAACCAACCTATTATAACCTCGCTAACAATACCTATTCCTCAATAGACCTAAGCATAGTATCTCCATCGCTTGTGCATCTACTTCACTGGAAAGTCATCACTAATCCCTACGGAAGTGACCATTTTCCAGTAGTTTTGAGCACACCTACGTCAACTGAATGCCCGCCCCAGGTTCCGAAATGGCTATTAAGCAAAGCCAACTGGGAACAGTTTTATACCATCACTCATTTAAATTGGCGCGACATATGCACTTTAAGCATTGATGTGGCTGTCGACTATTTTACAGCGTCTCTGATTGATGCAGCAACAAAAAGCATACCACAAACGAATGGACACCCTGGAAAACGACGTGTGCCATGGTGGAACTAAGTGTGCCGAAATGCGTGCAAGCAGCAAAACAAAGCATGGAGATTGCTTCGGAACTTACCGACAGCCGAAAATCTTGACACATTTAAGAAAATGAAGTCTCAGGCCAGGAGAACGCGTCGGCAGGCCAGAAGAAAAAGCTGGCACAAGTTTTCATTGGGGATTAATTCATATACCCAAGAGGCTGAAGTCTGGAACATGGTTGGTAGAGTAGCAGGAAGACAAGTGCATTCACTTCCACTCTTAAACACACAGGGTGACAGCCTGGAAGATCAGGCGAACTTCCTCGGTGCACACTTCGAACAGGTGTCTAGCTCGTCACACTATACTGAAGCTTTTCAAAGATATAAAGCAAAAATAGAAAAGCACAAACTGGAATACAAGCGTACAAAATACGAGGCATACAACCAACCTTTCAACTTAGCTAAACTCCTGCAGTAATTCACTAAACTCCTGCAGTAATTCTGCCCCAGGCCACGACTATGTCATGTATGAAATGTTGAAAAACCTGCCGCTCGAAACGCGAAAAAACTTTACTCTCCCTATACTATGCTATCTGGCTTTCTGGCACCATCCCTGCTTCCTGGAAAGAGGCCATTGTTATCCCTATTTTGAAACAGGGCAAGGACCCTTCCTCAGTTTTAAGTTATAGGCCAATTGCATTAGCCAGCTGCCTTTGTAAACTTTTTGAAAAAATGATAAACCGCCGACTTTTATATTTCCTTGAAACACAATGTGGGTTTCGAGAGGGTAGATCCACCACCGACCATCTGGTGCGTATCGAGGCACAGATCCGAGATGCTTTCGTCCACAAACAATACTTCCTCTGTGTGTTTCTCGATATCGAGAAGGCTTACGACACAACATGGCGTTTTGGCATATTAAGAGACTTGTCTCACCTGGGTGTGCGCGGTAGAATGCTTTCCATAATCGAGAGTTACTTGTCCAATCGGGAATTCCGTGTCCGTGTGGGAAGTGTTCTCTCCCAAACATTTGTTCAAGAAACGGGAGTACCGCAAGGCGGTGTACTTAGTTGTACACTTTTTATTATCAAAATGAATTCCTTGCACCCGTCCATCCCCCGCAACCTGTTCTATTCCACATATGTCGATGACGTCCAGCTTGGCTTCAAGTCATCTGGACCGTTAGCCTACATTGGCTAGTGATCGGTCCATATCGGAGTACATAAAAGCTGCTTAGCAGAGCATATTTAGCAATAAACGCATATATACACAATTATTTATACATATAACTATTCACATATGCACATACATACTACATACGTAAGCGCGTGTACATATGTGCATTTTCACAACATACCCAAATATAGTTTGTTTCATCATCATCGTCATATATAATAAGTGACTGGGTAAAAGCACTAATTAGCACAGGAGAAAGTGAGAAAAAAAACACCTATTTATATGTCTTGATGCTGCAAGCAAAATAATTTCACACTGTGCTTAAAATTTCCTGCCACTTTAGCTTCTAAGGGTAGTTGGTTCCAAATTTTAGTCCCATAACATTCCAATAAGCGTTTTCCATATAAGTTATAGCTTGTAGGTAAGTTAAAATTGCCATTCGATGCGTGTCTAGTGTTTCGCGATGGTATTGTAAATAGAGTGGAGGAGAGGAGAAAGCTAGTGCCTATAATTTTCTGAACATAAAGGGCAACCTTCTAATCGCGAAGTACATATTCGCTGACGTCCAGCTTTTTTAAGTCATGCAACCTGGCAATGTGTGAACGCCAGGTTCAGCTAGGTTTGAACAAGGTCTCCAAATGGGCAGAAGAAAATGGATTCCGACTGAATCCACAAAAAAGCAGGTGTCTTGTTCTCCCGAAAGAGAGGTATACACTCAGAACCTGACACTCAATAGAATGGTTAAAGTCTATCTGGTAATGCCGAGCATAAATTTTTAGGCCTAATTTTTGACCACAAGCTAACCTTCATATCGCAAATTAAATATCTAAAAACAAAATGTATAAAAGCCATGAGTGTTCTGAAAGTGTTGTCACGTACTACGGGGGGTAGCGACAGGCAATGTCTCATAAATTTGTATAGGAGCCTCATTTGCACACGCTTAGGTTATGGGGCCGTTGTTTATCAGTCTGCGACTCGAAGTGCTTTGAAGATGCTGGATCTTGTGCACCATTTGGGCATCCGCCTTTTTACGTATGCCTTTCGCACCAGCCCTGTAGAAAGCCTTTTTACATTGAGTCAAATGAGTGGTCGCTTCATCTGCAAAGAACTTACATGTCCTTTGTATATTTCCTTAAGGTGAAAGCAGACAAGAAGCACCCCTCGTACTCTACTATTAATGATTTGTCGAGCTCCATTTTGTTTCAAAACAGGCCTTCGATGAGTCAGCCCTTCTCAGTTCGCCTGAAGGGTCTAGCTGAGAAAACTGGAGTGTCACTTGAACACAGTTTAATGGCTCCTGTAGCATACCCGCCACCGTGGCAGTGGCAGACTATAGACTGCAATGTGTCTTTCCTAGAAGTTACAAAACATGCGCCTATTGCCCATATCCGAACATACTTCCTGGAACTTCAACACAAATACACACGTCCTGAGTTCTTTACAGATGCCTCTAAGTCTAACTCCTCTGTGTCCTACGCTGCTGTTGGCCCTTGCTTTTCGGAGGTTGGCCCTTTACATCCAGGCACAAGTATCTTCACAGTGGAAGCTTACGCGATACTTGTGGCAGCTAAACACATCAAACAATTACAAATACAAAAAGCAGTAATTTATACAGACTCTCTCGGTGTGGTAACGGCTCTGCACAATCTCAAAACACAAAAAAACCCTGGCCTTGTCTCACTTTACTCCATTTTATGCACACTCTACACACTCAACCAACATGTTGTAGTGTGCTGGGTGCCAGGGCACCGTGAGATTCAAGGCAACGTGATGGCGGATCAGCTTGCTGCATTTGTCCACGAAAGCACCGCCACTACATCTATAGCAATCCCGGCCCTTGATCTTAAGCCGTCTCTCAAATGAAAGCTCAGGGACTACTGGCAGAGCAAGTGGGATAGACACATACAAAACAAACTACACGTTATCAAGCCACACCTTGTCCATTGGCCACCAGTATCAAAATCACGTCGTACAGAGGTAACACTAACGAGGCTCAGGATAGGACACACATACACGATACACTCATATATCTTTTGTCCGGTGGCGATCCACCATTGTGTGACAGATGTGGTGAAGCACTAACAGTTCTTCACATTAAATTCAGTGCAAACAATTAGACTCTCTAAGAAAACATTTTTCATTACCCTACCGACAACATATACGTTTACACCCTGCAATGTTCGTTTGTAAGGAACCACTGTTCACTCACAAATCGGTGCTAGCTTTTTAAGAGATGTTCGCTTTTATCATGTCATATACCCAGGCAATGCGTAGCGCGACCTCTCAAGAGAGGTTGCTGCTGCAGTGACTACATTTAAAGCACTTGCCTTGCAGCCCTTGGACGCAAGGGCACTGATGAGTCACTTGTGCTAGCGCAGAATATTTTTACACGTGTTTTTATTATCAAAACCATTTGTCACCAATTTTTACTATCCATATCACGCCACTGTCATGATTATAATGCTTTTGTTTTACCCGCATTATAGCGAGGAATTTTAAGGCCCCTATACAGCCACGCAACATATCATTGTCCAACTCTAGTCATTGAAATGCCGCTCTTTGGCCATCAATTGGCCCTTGCGCCATAAGTCGCCACACATCATCATCATTACACGTGGCACAGCTACAAGCTGACGGCGCACCACGAATTTCAGAAAACAATCCCTCCTTCTTTCTGGGCCTTTCGGGCCTCCGCGTGACGCGCCGTTCCCTATCTCTGACGTGTCAAGCCTGTGATTGGTTGAGCTGTGATTGGTTGAGCTGTGATTGGTGATTGGTTGAGGTTCTGTGATTGGTTGAGCAAAAACCTACGACTTTCGGTCAGTCTGCTAGCAGCTGTCTGCCTTGCTTGTTGTTTGTCGTATTGCCCGCATGTGTGCAATGCGTACTGCGCATAGTGTGACCCCATACAGGTCCATCGCCATCGCGTTGGCGATCCTTTGAAGGCATGCGCACAACGCAGGGTCCATTCTGGCACGAGTACAGCAGCCACAGTTTGCCAACAAGCATGCAGCTGCAACGGAACTGGTTGAGTTGACAGGCGTAGTCGCGGATACCGGATGTAGATGGTGTTTGACGCAGTCTGTCAGTGATGACGTATGCCACATGAGATTGGAAAGGACATGGGAGGGGCACTCAGCGAGAGGGCTAAGCGGCTTGGGAGAGTATACCAGCGAAAGGGAGCGCAGGAGAGAGCAAAAAGAGTGATCGTTGCAGTTTCGATAATCAAACTCGTCTAACTCTGCCATTACTTCACCGTTTCGAAAAATTCTCAAGGCTCCGTGTTTGTTGTACACTCGTGCACAATTTCCCCACCACAACTGAATTTCAACCTCTGGGTGGTTTATGGGCCCTTTCCAGAACACCACCAGATTGTCAAAATCTGCAGCTGATTCTACACTGTCCTTAATAATGTAATCATAGTTTGGAGCGGAAACACCAATAATTATTATTGAACTTGTGGTTTCAGGTGTTCCACTTGTGCACATCTCTCATGCATGTGCAGATGAGAATCGTATGGTTGGCCATGGTATCCTCTTTTTTCAGTGGTGTAATTTGTAACATCCATTCATGAAGCAACGGCTGCTGTGATGCATGGAGATTGTGACTGCCTTTGCTGAACCGAGGTGTCTTACGACATGCAGGTCCTACGAGACACGATGGGCAAGTTCTTCTTGTGGGTAGTGAAGTTCGCTTCGCTTAACGAGCTGGTTGAGTACCATCGCTCGGCCTCCGTCAGCCGCTCGCAGGACATCAAGCTTCGCGACATGCACCCCGAAGAGGTGAGGAGCATTGCACGCATTGCTTACCTGTCACTACGACCCACTTTTGTTACCCACTTGGCCGAAGCACTTAACCAGTGCATTTTGCCTGATGATCATGAAGGGTTTCAAACAGCTGGGAGCTTCTCTAGATGGCACAGATGTGTCAGAGTGGCGGGTGGCACAACATTACCTTTTCATGCTCCCTAATAGCATTTCATTTAAACATTTTAATAGCATTAATAAAACATCAAGTGACACATTATAAAGAACCTGAGATGGTTGATATTATCTAGAGCCTTCGACTACAGCATGCCCCATAATCATACATTTCTTTAAGCATGTAAAACCGTGAAAATTGCGTATATTTTAGTATTCATTTATTTGTGGTAAGGCTAAAGTGAATTTAGCCTACAATGAAACTATGACTTTTTTCATAAGCTTAACTACAAAGTTGATGCTTTAGCTGGTTAACAAATCAATGCTCAGCCAGACACAAGGCAATGCTGCTGTACAACACATCAGCTTAGTGTCACTCTGTGAGCAAATTCTACGAGAGCTAGCTCTGTGTCCTAAAGAAACCCTCAACACTTTTCCAAGTAATCATTGAATGGCTAAATTAGAGGAGTATATTGTGTCGCGAATTGACTGCCGCTAAAACGTACAATCGGTGAAGTACGAGCAGAGCTACAAAGCTTTGTTGCGCACTTTAGGCACCTTTTCTTTCTCTTTTCGTACCAGCGAGCACGCTCAAATGTGGACTTGGGAGGGGGTGGGGGGTGGCAACGGACGTTGTGACCTTAAGCACAGTCGTTGTTTTTTTTTTTCCCTTCAAAAGCATGGCAGCTTACTTTCAGTTCAACTGCAAGCGAGTGCACGGCCACATATTGGCTGCCGCAATAACTACACTGTTCACGATGTTCAAACCACCGGATGGCTGTGGACTTCAGGTTTATGACGCAGTCATTTGGGTTTGTGGATATCATTTATCAAGAGAAAAGGGAAGAATGTCTGTGTAACTTCAAAAATTAATTGCAAATTGCAGGCCACAAGGTGCACTACACTATTTGGCTCGCATGTTTTAAGGAGCCTCTACTATGCAGATCGGCACCGTTTTCTGGCCTTGTTTGAAAAGTGTTGCTGGGCCCCTCTAAAACAGCTTCATTCTAGCATAATAGTACACGTGCATCAAGAGTCATTGCCCCACAGCGAAGCAGGCTGTGCTGACCCCCGCCCCAAATGCGGGTCATCACGCACAGGAGACCACGCCCGGAGTCCAACCTCAGCCGAGGCACCAGCATGTACTGACTCCCCTCAAGGTTCCGACAGGAAACAATGCCGGCCAGACAGCTCAAGTCGGAGCTGGTGTACTGGAAGATAAGAGCCAGGTATTTCTGTGCCTCGCCAGCCGACAACTTCTGCTGCTGGACAACTGCTTGCTGTACGCTTGGCTGGTGCCGAAGACGCTTCCTCTTGTGTTTGTTCCGCAAGAAGGCCACTTTTCTTTCTGATGGAAGACTGTCACCTACGTGACTGTTCGTCTGCCTCACACTCGTCTTGGCCACATGCTCTTTTGAATGACCTGGCAAAGCTCTGCAGCGTGCACTGAGGTGTTGTCTGCTTCTCGTAGCTATTCCGTTGTGTCACCATGTTTGCGTGCTGTGTTTCTTTCTTTTCCACTGCTGCTTGGCCTCATAGCTTCAGGTTGCTGAGGGTTGCTGGGCTCGGCCAGATTCCGAGAAGGGCCTCAATCTTCTAAGCTGCACCTGTTGTTGTAATTACCCACTCAATCTTAGCAGCCCGTTAAGTGGAGCTTGTATTGCCTCACAGTTGTTGGTGGCGATGTGTGACTGACAAAAAAAAAAGTGCACCCACTGGCACAACAAAATGCAGCTGTCGAAGACACGCCAGTCACGTGTATTTGTATGCACTGTTTTCCAATATTTGATGCTATCTCTATTGGGGGCTTGTTGGCAATCGGCTGTTCGTGATGCGAAAATTTGATCTTTTATCAAGGTTGTTAAAGTGAGTTGTCATTTCACATTGCCATGTGTCGATGTAGCCCACATGTGGGTTGTTGCTGCCTATTATAGTAACCCAAGTGTTTCGCTGTTAAGCACGTGGATAAAGGTCCAGTCCCTGGCATGGAGGGAGGACACATTTCAATGGAAGCATAGCACAATGTGGTAGGCAGAAAGAAAATTAGTAGGTCTGGCACACTTGCCTCCCATTTTTTCAATATTGCAAAGGGTCCTCAAAATACCCAAGCAGCATCATTAAGGTCACAGTTATCATCTTTCGAAAAGCAGCTCTTGCTGAAGTGCCCTTTCTTCGCTCACATGTCGGTAATCTTCTGGCAGATTTTGGATATGCTGACAACTGCTTTTCAAGCTACGTCACAAATTTGTAGAAGTGCTCTGCTTCAGACGTGCATATGGTGATGCTAATTTAGAATCGGCAAACATGCGAAGCTACCGCCACCATATTTTCTTGCTGATATATAGCTACTCGACTTAGCAGATGGGAAATAGCTTCTGAAAGAACACCAACCTTTTGAATTGTTTTTCATGTTTGAATGTCTTTCTGCCTTTACTTTGACTACAGCTGTCATGATAAACATGGCACTTTTGAAAAGTACAGCACACGGGATGATCTTCGTGGGCCTGATTTTTGAAAGCCGAGATCAGATGTTTTGTATCGCTTTTCTTTAGTCTCTGTGACACTACTGTGACCTAACGAGACCTGGAATGGACATGCCATTGATTGTGTTGTAGAGCACGCCCAGTCATTACTCTTAGCATGCTATTGATTCAAGGAAAGAAACCACTGCTAAAGAGACTTGTCATCTTTCTGCCAATGGTATTGCCCTGGAAGATAGCATGCTGCCAGCATGATTACAGCAACAGCACAGCGCTGTATCTTGCATTAGGGCAACTGCCAGTCTTTGTCGAAGTCCATTGACGATTTACTCAACCTGAATGATGACACGACTTCTTCAATTCCAGTTCATTCGCTTGTGAGGGCCTCAAGACTGGTCCTTTCCACATGCAGTCCTATCTGTAATAGGCACTCTGGCCTGTGGCAATTCTAGCAATGTGCACTTAGAAACTACAGCGGCCATTCCAGAAGACAAAGCACCTGCAGGTTTAAAGGTGCTGGCAGAGTTGAATTTCGTTCAACAGTGGCACATCTGAAGCTTTTCCTTCATTCATGATGAGACAAATGTAGGCACTATTGGTGGCCTCCCACTCGCACATGTTGACTTTGCATGAATTAGTCTTGGACATCTGCACTTCTCAACCTGGTTGTCAAGCCTACACATTCAGCAAAGTTGTGCAGTGAAGGAGCGGCCACAGGGGTTTTCAGAACTTCCTTCGGCTTGTTTTTGGGGTCGAGCCGATGAGTAAACATTGGGTTGTTTAGTCTCTGACTGAGGTGGCTAAATATAGACTTTGTGCTGAACTTCTTTTGTGCATTCAAACACTGAAGATAGTCAGCCCTCAAAGCCAAGGTGGAGGAGGATTGAAAGAGGAAGGACAGGGAGGTTAGCCAGTTCTCAGTTCGGCAAGTTGGCCTCAAAATACACTTTGAAGCCTGCAGTGCTTCTGTGGGTGACTAAGGCAATGATGTCAACAACGGTTTGTGGAGCCAGTTTATAGCGGAGCAGCACATGCTTTTTTACGGCACTGCACCACTTCTCTCTCAACACATGAACTTCCATGAAGCCAAGCGAAGAATAGACACTGAGCCATCTGGAATAGTTACAAGCCATTCAGTAGCCCTAAGAAGGCTTTTTTCTCAGGCTCAAGCTAGTCAATACTGTGTCGTTCCATGCACTGCTCCTGTAATCAACTCTTCAGAGCTCACACACTAGGATGTTGTACTTGTGAACCTTGGCAACAAACTTTCATGGCTCTTTTTCTCCATGACATGAAGCATCTGGAAAGCCTTTAGTGGATGACCAACAGCAATGTGATTGATGGCACGATAATCCTTCAGTGGTGCCTCTTAAAATGCCACCGTCTTTATTGGTTTCTCGCCTCCCTTATGAATGTCTTTGGGGAGATAAGCGATTATGCTGGGACGAGAAATGCAACCAGTCATACGCAGTGTCCTTTACCATGGCGTGATCATCACTGGCTTCTTTGAACTTTCTCCTAGAGATCTCTGCACTGCAGAAGATAGGATAGTGCACACAGTCTTCGTGCAGTGATGGGTTCTAATACATTACGGGAATTTCAAGATGGTGCCATCATTGTCTTGTGTCTTTGTCCGACCAGCACCTCCTTAAAGCTGGCGGAGACAACAGCTGCGTGTTTCTGCGCGACTGTTACGTTACCATTTATTTGAACAAAAACGGCTACACATTTAGGGCAGCGAAGATTGAGTGGCACATTACGGAGAGGGGCCTGTGGCATCTTTAACTTATTGCATATGGAACAATCAAAGGACCAGCAACACCATGCTGACTTCACATGGGTACGCTAAGAACCCCTTCATTCCTTTTTGACAGATGAGTATTTCTATGCCGACCCAGTGAGAAAACCGGCCTTCCATTTATCCGTCTTATCTCTCTATCACATAAGGCGATCACCACTGCAAAGAAGTAAAAGAAAATGGGCGTTCACTCCGGGGCTTGGTTTCACACCGAGGTCTCCACGCTCCGAAGGCGAGTGTTGCATTATCGGAACAGCTGTACACACCAGAAAAATTCAAGCTTTGGGAGATTTTGATGTCAAACGCTTATTTCAGTGGTCATGGGATGTGTATGCCATGGGACAGCATTCAAGACCTTGCCCTATTGCACACACCTAAGTGATTGCAATGAAGCCATGCCAATGCCACCCAAAAACGGCATACCAAGGGTGGCTTCCATCTACAATAAAACGCAATGCTTACGCTTCACTTAGGCAACTCTTACTAAAAATGTTACGCGATTTTTTTTTTTAGGTGACGTCGATGCTTCTTGGATACACACGTCCCCCCTTCAGTCAATGCTCTTTGGCCTTGCTTGGCACTTATGTTGTAAAACACTATATTCATCATGGCAGCATTATTATCATTATTATTAGAGCACCATTTGGCTTAGCCCTTTTTTGTTGTTGTTTTTTGCATAGGTAACCCATTATACAGCGAGCATGCTGATTTACTACAGAATTATAGTCTGTGTGTCTTTGATAATGCGGGAGGGTTTTGCACGAGTTAGCCCCTATGTAATCGGCGTTGAGGCGTTGAAGGGCACAGATTATCAAGTATCAAGTGCCAGCTACGTTTCCCGCAATGTTATCGGAGAAGGCATACATTGGCAGCCTGTAGTAGATATCATAAGAGCATTTTTTTCCCCTCTTTTTAATGAAGGTCTTATGCCTTGCAAGCCAAGGAGATATGTGCACATTTCTTATTAGCTGCCAGGTTGTGCTTGCAGCTTTCAGCCTTATTTTTTGCTTATTATGTGAACTGCCCCTTTAAATTTTTGTTTTCTTGTTTGTTTCATTTAGTCCCTGCAAACTAATTATTATTATTATTATTATTATTATGACAAAGAGTAAAATGGCCACAGAGTGCCAAGTCAGTGTGGTCTCTAAACCACAATTGTGTGGCCTTCTACAAGTGAAACTTGGCACTGGCTTTTTCCATGTAAAGTAGTCAAAGATATATGAAAGACAGAAACGTGCATACAGTACTTTTAAACATGAAAATTGAAGGTTGCAACGCATCATCCAGGAACGTTCTCACAGTTGCGACGTAACAGCGTGGTTCTCAATACATGGGATTCTATGAGAGCTTTGCCGGTATGCTATACTTTATGCTTATAACCCCTGTGATACTCAGGAGGGGAGGGGAATAGGTTTAAGCTTCCCCCGTGACTTGTTCTAATTTTTCATAGGTATATATTTATGCACACGTGCACAAACATACATCATGGGTGGCCAAAGCACATCCCCCCCCCATCACAGGCACGCACACGCAAAAACAATTTCTGGCTGCGTCCCTGCTTGTATCATCAAACATCACAGAAATTGCAACCACGTCTGACTAGGCTTGTCTTTTTTCTGCTTTACTCTGCTCAGTGCCTCGTGCAAGCCATGTACGACTTCCAGCCCCAGGAGAACGGGGAGCTCGAGTTTCGTCGCGGTGACATCATCAACGTCCACGACCGCTCGGATGCCAACTGGTGGGAGGGCGAGATCGGCTCGCGCCGGGGGTACTTTCCGGCCACTTACGTGGTGCCCTACCACACGTAGTGTGCTCTCCCCGACGAGTCCACGCCGGGCGAAGGCCACTATGGGCTGTCACAGTCTTGTCCCACGGCGCGGGCCACCCCATCTGTAGGGAGAAGGAAGAGGGTGCTTTCTCCTCGCCGCGCGGTGATCTGAAATTTTGTCTAGCAATGCCAGTCCAACGGGCTGGGCTCTTTGTATTGCTTCAGTCCACGTGTGGCAGCAATGGTCTGAACAAAAAAGCATAGATAGGTGCTGCAGTAACACAGCATAAACTGCAAAGGATGACCATGTGACAATTGGCGATGAACTTCCTCAGACATAACTTGGCTTTGAAAGTGTGAGTGTAGTGCTGGTTATCGGGTGCTTCTTTTGTCTTGATTATGTCACGCTATGACTAAGCAGCTCGAAGAGCCCACTAAGCAAGCCTGCCATGTCTTTTTTTTTTTTTTTTCAAGCAGTGCAAGGTGCTCTTTTTCTCAGGCCACTCTCAATCAATGCGGCATCGAAAAGTGGTAGGCTTGTGGACTCCCAAGTTGAGGTCGCTCACAGAGCACGTCAAGTGGGGGTATGCCACAAATGCACGAGGGGAGATGCTAGGGGTGTCCCCGGACAGTTGTTGGGACCAGTAGTGTGTCCCCCATTTAGTTTTGTCGTGCTCTTTTTTTTTTTTTTTGTACTGAGGAGAATTTGACATCAGGCCAGTTATCCCCCCTGCCTTCCTCCTGATAACATTGATCAGTGAAATTCGCTGCAGCTATGGCGGAGGCGCAGCCGAGGTCATTAGTGTTTGTCGCTGTCCCCACACCGAAAGGTTGCCAGCCACAATCGCTGTTATCTGAAAGAGAATTGCAACTTCGGAAAGCACCGGTTTACACCAATTGTCGCTGGTGTGGCTCAACTGGTCATCTAGTCTCTTCTCTCGTGAGACTCTTCCAAGTTTGGCTTCGCGAGGAAGCTCGGTGCATTTTGAGGCTACTATTGCGCCAAAGGGAGGCATGTGTGTAAAACTGTTGGACAAACGCTGGCACTCCTGTAGTTGCATTCTGTGCTTTACAGAGTATGTCCACCGGGTTCCTCGGCTAGCTAATATCACTCAGTGCTGTTACAGCAGCGCCAGGTGGAGCAGCGTAGCCATATTCAGGGCTTCGTCGGCGTATGTCACAGCAGAAATGTTCTCGATTACATTTCACAGGAACAGGTTTACCTCTTTCAGTATTCGCCAGGTTTGAATAACATCTTTTCAGCCACGAACATGGATTCGGTATTTGCCGTCACAGGCGTGATGTCTCAGGGCAGTGCGTGACACGGGTGCCTTATCGTGTTGAGGCTACAGAACGTGAAAGGCTGTGAAGACCGCAATGCTTATCGCCTAGGTATGCCTTGTGGGTAGCTAAGCGGTGCGAGGAAAGTAGGGGGTCACCCAGAGCTTCCCGCATTCTTTGTTGAGGAGGCAGGGTCAATAAGTTGTGGAACGGGAGTCTCGCGCACCATTTTCTACTTGCACAGCATTCACCAGAACCTGGCATGACGCACAGTGCGAACTTCAAACCATGATGAGGCAACGACCATGGGTGAACTGTAAACTGGATCTGTGGACACGCTCTACTACTTCGGGAACCGTTGGATAGCAGCAGTTGTGAAGTGGAAGCATGGTATTGTAAGTGTTTGTTTTGTGGTTCATAAAGTAAGGGTAGGAGCAACTCTGAAGGAGCCACAACTTTGCCAGCACTGTTAAGTGCAGTTTACACAGCCCATGTTTCTTTTTTCTTTTTATGTTAATCCACATCCTGACAGCTTATCGTTGCACTTTTGTTTTTCATCTGCTCAAAAAATTGTGTGGTGTCAGTATCGTCCATTCTAGAAAAATGCTATCAATTCTGCAACTTTTCTGGATTCCACATTGCTTCATTTGCCGAGGCACATCTCCCAACAGCATGCAGTAGTAAATAAGCCCATCAAGCTACTGTGCCAAATCATGAATAGGCCATACTTCTCTACGAGTAGGCAGCTTTTGTCTGTGGCATAGAGAAAAGGACAATCCGGTGCATGTTGCAACATTTGGGGTAAGAAACATCGGGTTGGTTTCGCATCTGATAAGCCATCATCCTTCCAGATTTGCATATAAGTGTGCCATCTGCTTGAAAGTTTGTGGAAGCCCAGACACCCTGCCTTCAGGAGACTTCCGGTTAGTCCATAACTCTGTCAAGTATTCTTTTAGTGGCCACCAGAAAAGGGCTACCTTGACACTGCGCCCTTTTGAGCTGCTGCTAATGTTATGATACTTTTGATATGAAAAATGTATGGGAAAGCCTTTCCTTTGAGCTCAGTGTTACGGATGCCAGCATTGTGTTTGCTTTGCCAAATTGACAAGAGCATATTGTGTCCGTTGCTTTGTATGAACTAGAGTGTGTAGGCAACCCGCAATTGTCCTGTACACGTGCATTCCGCATCTTAAGCTAGCCGAATGTACGGCAAAATGCTGTGGTGGTGCCATCTGTTCACGTGTTGCACGATTTATTCTGCGTAGACCAGACGTGGTAGAGGAGGAACGTGGCAGGAACAAAGAGCTGCGCCCCGTTCGGCTTTGACACCGGAGGGTTGTCCGAGGACTCCATGCCGCGAGCTTTTGGAAAGCATTGCAGATCTCTTTGTGTACAAGTTGAAGATGTCTTGCACTTCTTTTTATACCTTGCTGTTCTCGTTAGTTGCGGCTGCAACGGATGTGTCATTGCTGCGGTGTTGCTCGTGCATTGCGGTAATGGTGTGCACGCTTAAATTTCGATCCCAGTTTGGCAACCTGTAACAGCTTTGTCTGGTCTGCTTAAAGCCCTCTGAGGCATACAGTCTTGCTGGTCCCCATGCAGATTGTGCCTATCTCTGCTTTTACCTTATCAGCTGCATTGCTCTATGACAGCTCACTGTCTCGTTATCGTGGAACATAGAGCGATTGTAGTGTTCCTCGCCGTTACTCGTCTACCCCATCCTGTTCTATTTTTTTTTTGTGGGGCCAGGGATGAACCTTACTTTCTCTTGTACTATTATTCTCTTCGTTTTTGTTCAAAGTTTGTTTTAGAAGTCTATTCGTTTTTTTTCCTGTTTTTTTTTTGTCATTCATTTAAAGACAGCAGTATGCAAGTGAATAGTGTGAGTGTGTTTGTATGTATATATACTGCCAATGCTTTCCATCTCCTCACCCCCTTTGTGTCTTCCTTATACCAATTTTTGTTTTTAGCACAAATACGGAAATACAGATGTGTTGCAATTATGGGCTAATATAATAAGGCACCGCTTCTTCGGTTCAACGGAAGCACTGTCATGGGCCACTGCCTGTTTCATGTTTATGTACTGTCATAGAGAGTTTGTCTGCTTTGCTTCTTTATTGCCATCTTGACACCACTATTTTGCTATGGGCGCTCAATTTGACCTTTGTTTGTGTGGTCCTGCGGCTTCTGTACCCTTTCTCGCACTCTTTTGGGACACGAGACAACGGCCGCAGCAAAGTGTGTCGTCTAGTCAGCCGTCCCCCCCTCCCTCCCGCATCCTCCGTGTCTCGTGCCCCTTGCTCGCATGTTGCATCCGGCTACAGTGGCCGTCTCGCAGGTCTCTCGAGCTTGACTTCAAGCAAGAGCTACGAAATCGTCCATGCAGTGTACGGGGCCTCGAGTAGCAAAGGGGGATTCAGTTCTTTATGGCATCCTCTGGTGGTTCTGGCAACCTTTATGTTGTTTAGGAGGTGCTTGGTTCTGGCATCCGTAAAGTTATTACTACCACTAGAACTTCCAATCATAGCAGCATCATTATGGTCTTCACTAGACACGTTTATCATCAGTGATCTGTAATGGCGTTATGGATGCCAAAACATGCATTTGTAATGGAATCCGTATGTCCTTCATCAGGCACGTTTTATCGTCAGTGGTTTGTAGTAGCTTTACGAATGCCATAGCGTGCATGTGTGATGAAATACATATTTTCTTCACTAGGCATGTTTGTCATCAATAATCCGTAATGGCGTTGTAGATGCCAGAACGTGCATTTCTAACACATTCATATGATCTTTAACAGGCACTTCTAGGCACATTTGTTGCCTGGTCCATAATGGTATTATGGATGCCAGAACATCCATTTGTAATGGAATCTGTATGTTCTTCACCAGGCTCTTCACTACGCTTGTTTGTCATCAGTGATCTGTAATGGCTTTACCGATGCTGGAGCGTGCATTTGCGGTGGCATCCATATTGTATTTACCAGGCACTTCACTAGGCACGCCTGTCATCAGTGAATCATACAGGCAATACAAATGCCAAAACGTGCATTTGTAATCGAATACGTTCATTATTCACCAGGCATTTCATTAGGCACATTTCTCGTCGCTGATCTGCCGTGGCTTAGGTATGCCAGAATGTGCACTTGCTATGGAACCAGTATGTTCTTCACCAGGCACTTCTCTAGGCACATCATCAGTTATCCGTAATGGCATTACGGATAACTGTGCATATTTAATGACATCTATATAATCTTTACTAGACACTTCTGTAGTCAGTGCTCTTGCTTCGTGTTTTTTATTTCTCAACACGAGTAGTACTGGCTTTTGTGGCAAGGCTCACAGTGTCTTTCTTTCATCGCCTGCTATTGGATGTCTTTCCTGGGCATTGTTGGCAACAATTTAGTCACGTGTCCTCGGCTCCGGCCCATGACATCTACACATTGATTCGCCTCCTTGGTGGATCGAGTTGAAACTTTGAAAATATATGTGTTGCACCAACTGTAGTGCTTCGGTGATATCCTAGACTTGCATTTGTATGCCTAGCCAGTTTACTGAATCACCATCGTGCTCAGGCAGATTTTCATTACAACAGTGACCGAGCAGTATAGGCAGGTAATGTCATTCAATTCGGAGCTATGTAATAGGAAGGCCATTTTTATTGTGAACATGCGTATATCACATAGTTCGCAGCTACTTGTGCACAAAAATTGATGTCTCCTCTGTTGCATGTCTGCGAATGAAACTCTCCTGTCCTACGTAGCCTGGTGGAATGGAACCTGTCTGCAGATTGCCAGCATGTTTATTCTGGCAAAATGACCAAACTTCTCTGATGACATTACATGTGGACTTGGATGTGCACACGGTATGGTGCTTTGCTTAGTATTTGCTGCCTTATATGCTGAATTTCAACAGCATGCACTACCCTTCAACCTATAGCTCATTTTACTTTGTTTGAATGTGTAAACGACCCTGTCATGCCACCAGGTACAGGGATGCCATCCCATACATTGAGGGCCTCTAATAGACTTTTTTTTTGGTGGCTTCTCTTTTTTTTTTCTCTCTCTTTTTCTTAGAGCCACTGTTGCGTGTTTGTTTTCCCGACTTTGGTATACCGTCTGTGGCAGCAGCCGTATTGCTTCTCACATACACACATATTTAGCAAAGTCTTCCAGTGTTTTGTCCATTTGCATTCACACGTTTTTGTCTCACATTGAAACACTTCTGTGGTCACACACTTACATTTTATGGTCGGAAGTGAGGTGTGGAGACACGGCAGGTAGATTGCCTTGCTTTAGTTGAACTGCGCCTAAGTGAGTGTTTTTCATTATGGCTGCATCAAGCAGTGTCAGGCCCCTCTTTGTCACTCTCTTTTGTGTTTTTTTTTCTTTTACCTTTTCTGCATACTCTAAATCTCTTTGAGTTAGGGGGAGAAGTCTCACAGATCGTTGGCGGGCTTTTGATGTCATCGCAGTGAGCTCTTTGGTACTGCAAGTGTGTGCACTTTCCACCTTTCAGTCTTTGTGCCACAGTGTGCATGTTGTATCCTGAACACCACCCTGCTTCAAAGTCGATACACTTTGTGCTGGCATTTGTCCAGCGTACTTTCCTTTGGCTCTGAGTTGATGTTTGCTTCATGGGGGAATTTCTACAAGCCCTCGAAGGAGCATTGTCGAGGAAATCCTACTGGAACAAATCTTGCCTTTGCTACTACTACTGCTACTGCTCGTCCAGTAGTGTTGTGCACAGTTCAGGTTTTGGTCCGTCTTTCGGCAAAACCTTTGTACACACACACTGGTGGAGTGCTTGAGTGGCGGCAGCCTTACTGGAAGAAGAGCACTCAAGAACTGTCTAGGCAGGCTTTTTTTTTTCTTTTTTGCATTCTTTTATTAAGCTGCACAGGTGAGATGTGCCGTGTTTCGCTTTATGTGCTTTCGTGCACTTGTTTGCTCAGCACTGTCCCCGAGTTGTAGCGATACTTTCAGGAGCTGTTCTTCCTGTAGAAAACCTTTTTTTTAGTGTTGTTCTTCATGGTGAGAACACCAACCGAGCTTTGAAGTGATGTCTGTTTTGAAGAAATTTTATGTAAAAGTGTGCGTGTGTGTGTGTCGTGAGTGTGGTGTGCTTTTTTTTCTGCATGGTGGTTCTACAAGTGTACATGCGATCGGTATAAAAAAATGTGAACCTGTTACTTGAGAACAAAAATAAAATCAATTGTTTCTTTATGCACTGGGTTTTGTATGATTCAAGATGAGTACCGTCTGCTTTTGGAAGATCGGCTGACAACACAAAAACACATTGCCTTACCGGAGTCAAGTGCCAGTGCTCCAATAACAACGTATGACTGTTTAACACACAGGACAGCACTGGCAGGTAAAGCTTGGCTTCACTCAATGCTCTGCTTCAGTTCGCGAGAACATGGCAATGGACAGTCTTCTACAACTCCGAGGCACTCGTGGGGAAACACAATGCATCACGACCGGATCGCATCTCAAAGGAATGCACTGGCCTATCATCTCAGCCTTGGCAAGGGACATACTTTTTCAATGGTTTTAAGCACACTCTGAGATGACCTGGAATGACTACGCCGATGAAGCTGCTTGCTCAGTTCATGAGAGTGGCTGATGTGTCCGAATTCCATATTCATGTGCTTGTGCTCCACTGCAATTTATGTGTCCGAAGTGTAGTACGACTGTGACTGCAAACAAATGTTTGCACCATATTTGATGACTTAACGGAAACACTCAACACGGTGACAGATCGCACCAGTATTCTAGTGCGGGTAGTTCTGTATGTGGTGTCTATTTCTCCAACGGGAGCCAAAACAGTAGCCAACTGCTGCAGTGAAGCGATATGCATCTTTTTAGCCGTAGGGATATCGCGTGCCACCTGGCTCCTCTCGCATGTGCACGAAAGCTCAGAGATGTTAAATAGCTTTTTCTTTTTAATTTCGTGATTTTTAAGTGATCTTTTCACCGCTAAATGCACTACTTTATGCATCAGTGGTAATCATGCATGCTGCCATGGAGACAGTGGTGGGAAACCTGCGCCAACCTAAGCCGATATGAAATTACGGCTCCGTACTGCTTCAAAAGGGTTTTTTTTTTTACTAGTTTGTGCCACAGTGTGGGTTTAGAACCGAAAGTATTGTTGACAGCACGCATTGTGAGCGGATTTTACGTGATGGTCGCCATCCTGTACACGTACGCTGCTGCATTTGCGTAGAGTTGCGCCACTGCTAATGCACGGAATCGGCTGATCAATTATTCCAACTTCCGCGCGATTGCGGCGGTGCCTTTTCTGGTAACCATTGACAGAGAACGAAGGCGCTCGGCGACTACCGTAAGGCGCGCCAGTATGACTTTTCGCCGACTAAAAACCAACGTGTGCGGCGTAGCGCAGCGGGCGACTACCTGTGAACGCCGATCGCTGCCACCTCAATCGTGCGGGACTGTGTTCAGTGCGCACAGCTTTGCAGAACGAAAGCAACTCGTTGTTGCGGAGTTCAGCGTTGTGGATCACGGGCCCCGAGGCAGCAAGCGTAGCACATGCTTTCATGAGGCGACAGCCCACTGCACGCAATTAGCCAGTGAACGATCGGCTACCTGCGACCGTACCGCGTCTCAAAAAACGATGTTTTCGCCAAGTAGCAAATCGCGGTACGCATTTATCGCGGACAACCGCTCATGTCCGTTCCGTCGCTATGCCAGTCGCAACGTCGGCTGAGTATCCTGGACTCCGCAGTAGTTTCGAAAAGCTCCTTGATGTCGCAACCGCGTGCAATTGGGTGGCCGTGCAAGAGTGCCAATCATTGTTGGAAATTGTCAAACAGAAATCACTTGGTGGTGAGCACTTTAGGCAATATTTGCTGTGGCACAGTATTTAATCATTTTATAGTGGCGAGCCCCGCCGCGGTGGTCTAGTGGCTAAGGTACTGGGCTTCTGACCCGCGGGTCACGGGATCGAATCCGGGCTGCGGCGGCTGCATTTCCAATGGAAGTTGAAATGTTGTAGGCTCGTGTGCTCAGATTTGGGTGCACGTTAAAGAACCCCGGATGGTCAAAATTTCCGGAGCCCTCCACTACGGTGTCTCACGTAATCGAATGGTGGCTTTGCGACGTTGAACACCAGATACCAATCTTTAGCGGTGGTAGCGCACGTAGAAAATTGGTATTTGGTGATTAATGCAAATACTACGATTAGTGCGCAGATAGCCGGGTTCTCGGCGTGTATGCACGTAATCGCGAGGTTTTGCTGTAACAAGCTTTGAACGTGTGTGTGTGGGGGGGGGGGGGGGGCATAGGTTCGTCGCAGTGCCCTCCTCCCGATTATGTCATTGTAGGGGTACGAAATTTGCCCCCCCCCCCTCTCTCTCTCTGTATTATGTCAATGTATGAGGCTGGGTTTGTGCTCACCCTACCGCACGCCACCCTACCTGCCATGTCTCCCGGACAATACGGTGTTGGTACTAAAGCTCATATCACACGCCGCGATTAGAAGTGTTCGGGACATTCCGATTTTGGCCCAATGTGCACAGTAGAATTTGGCTGGGGAATTTCATGAATTCGTATCTGTCGCGGTTTCGCATCATGACACTTACGTTTATATGAACGCCTCCTAAACTCGTTTATAATAAAATTCGGTGGGTTTGCAAGAAGCTTTGAGCGGACTGACCTGCATTTCTGTCAGTGCGGCCAGGGCAGGCACAAAAATTTTGATTTCCCGGAGATTTGTATGACAACCGTGCAAACGGAAGAAACAGTCAAAATCCAGGAGTCTTCTAGATTGTCCCGGAGACTCGCGGATTGCGGCATGACGCAGTCAAAACATAACGTCCGAGACTGCGCGCTGGCACGCAGTTTTAGAGGCCATGGTTAAAGCTTCTCGATAGCAGCGAAAAACCCTGACCTATAGCGAGTATCGGAGAGTCGCCGACGCAGTAGTGTTCTTTGCCTTTCGCTCAGTGTTAACGCCCGACATCTCGTTGCTAAAGCTGTGCAGCTTCTACGTGCACCAACGATGTTTCACCGCCGACTGGGGGGGGGGGGGAGGGGGGCGCTGCGAGCGCTCGATGGTGACGGACGCACTCCACATCGCCTCCGTAGATTTTACGCTATTTCTGCGGACATCCACCTTGGTACCCCTGAAACTTTGATTTATCGTCACCGCCAAGTTCTCCGCTTCGCCTAGACAACACCTTCGTCCAGGTGGGTCCAGTTTTGACAACTTGAGGGACGTCCTTCACTCCCGCCTACAACGCCGCCTCGCTAAGGGCTCTCAGCCTGGCGATGGCGGCCGCTAACGTGGTTACGGGCTATGATCCTACCTCAAGCCAAATGCTGTCCATGGAGATTTCATCCTCCGAAAACACTATGCCATCAGAAGATGAATACCTCGATGACATGGTGAGACTGTGGCAACGCAAGCAAGCGAAATCGAAGCCTGCGTCTCAACAACAACGAGACGCCACGGCGGGCCACCATTCCCCAGCCTTGCAAGGAACGCCGGCGCGCCATCCCTCCGGTGGTGTGCCTACCTCTGCTCCGTCCTCGCAGCCAGCGAAGCAACGCAAGTGGCGTCCGCGTCAGACTCCTCGCCTCTCTCGCGACGACTACATCGTAGTAGTTAAACCTCGCGTTCCCTGCGAGCTACGCACATTTGTCCCGGCCGATCGTGCGGGCGACGCCATCCGCAGCTACCTCGGCGACCGGACTACCACGCAAATTCAAGTGTGGCCAATCTGGGAACAAAACATCTTGGTCTGTAGCACCACCATTTTGCCTATGGCACAGCGACTCCTCGGGGACTTCCAGCTGCAAGTGGGGGATCAGCAGCTGCCCGTTCGAGGCCACGCCAAGGCACCAGGGGATACATGCAAGGGCGTCATCAACGTAAACCCTGCTGAAAGCCCGGAGAAGATTAAGTCTGAACTGTATTGGCCTCGAGGTACTATCCTTGCGGTCCGCAAACTCGGAGATTCCGCGGCGGCGGTGGTGACTTTCGAGGGCACGAAGTTACCCCGCTTCCTCTTCTACCACTGCGTGGCGACGTATATCCGCGCCGACAAGAAAACGGTCCCTGTTTGCACCAAGTGCGGTACCATCGGCCATCGACCACCTCAGTGTCCTCACCCCGCTCCAACGCAGTGTGCCAAATGTGGAACCCCCGCACCTGCAGGTCTCAATACCCATGACTGCCACCCCAAGTGCCTCCTCTGCCACGGCGCCCATGAGACTGGGACCAGTGGCTGCACGGCAAAATATCGAAAATATCGGAAACGCAAGCAGCCCTCAACATCTCCTCGAGGGACCACCTCATGTTCGTCACAGCCAGACAGCAGCACCAACCTGCATCATTCGGCTCCACCACTCCACGCCGACACTCAAGCATTCCCACCGCTCAAAGCACCAGCGGCGGTATCTCAGGTGAGCAGTTGGGCAGGGAAAGCTGCTTCTAAGCCTCTCTCACCCCCTTCTGTCGATCCTCCTTCTCCCGAACTTGCGGCCCTTCGCCAGCAAGTTGCGGCACTTCAAAAGCAAAATTCTCTTTTAACTAAACAACTCGAACTCTTAAATAAGCGACTTCAAACCCAACAACAGTGTACTGCAAGGCCATCTGGTATTGCCTCCTCTGTCCAGGCGGCTACGCCAGCTACGTCCAAGCTTAGTCCTCGCGCAAAGTCCACTCCCATTCAACCGCCGGTTCAAGCAGCCATGTGTACTCCAGCACTCGGAACCGGTTCCACATCTACTCCAGAAGCTCTTGAGGCTCCTGGGGCACCTCAGGTTCTCTTGCCCGCTAACCAAACTCTCCCTAGCGAAGAGCGCACCCCGCGCGTAGAGGAACGCCTCACGCGCGTCGAAGCTTCGATTAATCACCTCCTCACCAGCTTCTCGGTCCAACGCATAGTAGTAGAGGTTACCCAGGTTATTCAAGCCTGGGCAGTCACCCAGTTTCAACCCAAGGCATCGCGTTCCCGCTCCTGCTCGGTGGGCAGTGAGGGTACAGCTCCACGGCGTCGTCGTAAGGTGGCTACCACAACCCCGCCGTCGGACAATCCGGCCTCCGTGCCCCTCCCTGCCTCTGAGGATTCCGAGTGGGACATGGAGGTCCAAATATAAAACCTAAGACAGTCACGATGGCTACCAATCGTACGTCCCGTTCAAACATTGCGTCTAAATTCGAGATCATACAGTGGAACCCTGGAGGCTTCGGGAACAGGCGA